GTGGAATGTGCTTCACAAATAACCTCCTTCTAACCCAACAACCCTCATCCCAGACGCGCAGTACAGCAGCTACCACCCTCAGTATCACCAGCCCCTGCAAATGCTGCTGGGGAAACCCCTCTACCTGGAAGTGCGGCTTCTCAACGCCCCGGATCCCAGTTTGGTGCTGCTGGTGAACTTCTGTGTGGCCTACCCCCGCTCTGGGAAGGCTGTTTGGATGCTGCTTTACAACGGGTATGTCCAAATGTTTCTGTAAGCGGAACATCAACAACAAAATTGAGGAAAAGCTTACTGAAGATGGAACACAACACATTTAGAAAGTGCATTTCACTCAGATAACTGCAAATATCAGGGAAGTATAATTGTGATACCCAATGATACATTTTCACTTCATAGGTGTCCCAACCCCTTGGATCCAGCCCTGCAGCAAGCTGTGCTCTCTGATCCTCGGCCTGCCTCTCCTCAGGCTCAGACCCGCCATTTCACCATCAGCACCTTCCAGTTCCTTCCTGACGGTGACTTTAAGGACCCGGACGAGGAGGTACGCATAAGCAGAGACTCTTGGATTCTATTAATTTGTTTCAATTCTGTCCCCACAAATCTAAAGTTCACCAATTAACACATTTTATTTAGTTTTCTTTAATCCATACAAAAGCTGAAGTGTACAAAAATGACAGATTGTGGTTTAATAGTGTTATAAAGTGCTTGTTCAGGGGTTTCTGTGCCACATTTCTGTGTTTAGCTAATCAGTTATTGGCCGAGCTTCATATTTAATGGTGGTATCAATCTTCTTGTCTAACTTTTGGCAAGAGAACAAATATGCATATTTCCCTAAATGTCTCACAATGCTCTAAGCCCACTTCCCCTATAGTTTTTATGTTTTCGAGCAATGGAAAACCTTTCAAACGTGCAGCTGTCTGTCGAGAATAGTTGGGCATCAATGTAATCTTATCTGATACTGGCTGTTGGCGTTGGAACCTTTAATTTATATATCTTTTTTCTTGGGAGAAAATAAATGTAATGTAAAACTATATGGCTGTGTGCCTTTTTAAAATGGGCATTAAGTCCATGGAGAATGAAACCATTGACAGCTGTATCTCTAAATCAGCATTCATTGCAAGGACATGTGGCGAGGCCATTTTGTAAACTGCAAAGTGTGGCCAAATCTCAATTGGTAGCAGCTGTTAGTCATAGTATGCTGCACACTCTCGGGACTGGACTCTACATCCAAATCCTGCTCTTCTTTCCCCCCCTCTCAGATCTACTTCATGTGTTCGACTGAAATCTGCTCGCCACGGGACGGGCCTTGTGTCGAGGGATGCTTTGGCCAGTGACGGTGAGGGAAAATGTGCACTCTGTCCTCATATCACCTACCACGCACTTAGAGAACTTTGAAGATGACATGAAAACACACATGAAGGAGCTCCATTACAACCCTCCTCACTGAAAACAGCCTGAGAGCCTGAAGTAGCTGCAGTTCTACTTGACAGCAGGGCAATGATTTAGTAATGAGGAGAATTTTTAATTATTTATCAAGACTGATCCATTTCCTGTTTCAGTTACGACATGGAAGACAATTAAAGTTGGTTGGATGGTTATGATCTGATATGCAGTACTAATGTGTTTTTGTTCATGTAGAAACACAATGTTATTGTTTTATACTGAACACATCTCCTCTCTTCTCCTCCTTTTCAGATCGGGACATCACCACCAATAAAAGCTATCAAAAGACTGACTGACTGAGTGTGTGTGTTTGTCCCTGAGCTTGCAGCCACTAGGTTTTACAGCAGGAAGTGGCACTCACACAGAAACAGGGAGGCAGTATCTTTTCCATAAACATGGTTGAGACTGCTGTGCTGTTCTGCCCTTTATGGAAAACATACAGAAGGTTTACAGCAACATAAGTTTGAGCAAGATAACTAAAGCTTTTGCTATTAACCAGTGTTCTGTAAAAGAGGTAGACAGACAAGAAATGTGCATAAAACAATTTCCAAACACTTAAAACCAACGTTATTGCGTTTTGACATTTTAAGTGTCTAACATGACCATGACCACAGTCAGTCTAATTGTTTAAAGCAGAAGTTTAAGTTCTATTGGTATTTGTGTAAGTGTATTCTTATCCAAAGAACATCTTTAATGTCCAGAAAAGCATTCCTATCCAAACATCAGTATGGGGATGAAGTCTGGAACTTTAACAAATTTACACCCAAATTTGATCATACACATATGGACAGATTACACAGTTGGAACATTATATAGTTTAACTGCGTGCTAATTTGTCAGGTAATTCTGATACAAATTGTATTTTTATTTGAAGTGGTTAATTTGACATAGTTACACTATAGTGCATGAAGCCGATTTGCTGCACGGACAGTTTATAGCTTTTTGAATTTTCAACTTGTGTCCCTAACCTTGCTTTTTTCCTGTGCATTTACAGTGCACATATTCAGATGGTATTTCCTGAAGTTCTTTCATCGGGTTGACTATTTGTTCACATGAAAAGTGACAAATAGTTTGTGACAAAAGGAAAAAGAGAAGTTTAAACCTTGGTTCATTTCTCCATCCACACATCTGTAAAATGGATGTGTACGCAGGATTGATTTATGGTTTGGAAAGTTACCAAAAGCCCTCAGCTAATTTGCTGTGAGGGGGGAGGGGATTTAAAAAAGTATTGGACCACCCGAACAACTGTTGAGTATACAAGTGTTTTATAAGGCTCTAACTAACAGCTGCTAAGCTTAGATAAAACTGTTGGAAACAGCTGGCCTGACTTTGTCTTCTGCCTGTCATCCCCTCTGACACTTAAGCAAAGCATGTATGCGTGTATTTTCAATGTAGGAGTGGATCCAAACGATGGGGCTGATATACACTATTTTAGGTGGTCTGCACCATCCAACAGCCATTTTAGTTCAAACTTAGCCAGTATGTTTATTTGTTGAAGAACCAAAGTGCAAAAGTAGCAATTTGTTGCCTATTTGGTTTACAGGGTGGCAAGGAATGGAACCTTCTTGGAAGTCACAGCTCAAAAGAAATGGTCCAACAAATAGTACTAGTAAAAGCACAATGTGTCCTTTTTTAAAGGTGCTGCTAAGTGGATTATGTTTTTTTTTGTAGAAATAGCTGTTTCCCCTCACTCCCAGTCTTCATGCAAAGCTTGGCAGATGATCTCCTGGCTTTAACTTCCTATGTAACAAAATGTGAGTGATCTTTCTGCTAACCCAGAAAGAGCACATGCATGGTCGTCTTTCATAAAGGTTGTATATGATAACTATGTAAGGGCACACGCAAAGGAGGCTGCACAATGTCCATATAAATGGTTTATTTCTCTTTTCAGGGTGACATTTCCATCGACGAGATCTTTCTCAGGCAAGAGGAACTAGAGACAGACAAATAAAGTATTTATTTGGAGCAGACAATGTGTAGACTTTCTTTATACCCTGCGGTTGAGCATTTTGTGCCTGAATGTGAGCATGAACACGCATACTGGCACCTTGGCATGTTCAGCATGAGATTGGTGGTGTAGTCAGGGGAGGCTAACCACTCTCACGCCCAGCAAGTCAAATGGGAGATTTTTGAAATCATATTTTGCTTGTATTAGGCCTATAATTTGCTACAGCAAATTGCCTTTGAAGTATTTGCTTCCCATGGTAGCCTTTGACCACTGGGTGTCATCCAAGCAATACAAATGCCAGAGGAACACAAGGTACTCCATGCTGCATGACTCACAGCTGTGCTAGTGTGAAGACCTTGGCCTATTGGTTGTGTAATGAGTTAGGAATGAAATCTTCTAGAGCTGGACTTGATAAGACCAGAGTTGTTCTGCCATGTAATGTGACCACTGATAAACACATTTTTTTTGGTGTAAAAACGGCTTCATTAAGATGTTGGAAATGATGTAGCGGTAAAAAACAATAGCGAAATGAACACATGATTTAAAGGCTTAGGTTTATACTGTGACAGCGTGGTCGCCTCACTGCCATAAGACCCCACACACACACACACATACACACACCTCCCCTCGGTGAAATGTATGGAAGCACTGCGGCACACTGCGTGTATTCTGCAGGCTGCATGGCTGCCTGGCTCAGCGTTCAAAGGGAGAGCGGAAGATAGGAGGAGGGGAAGGACTAAACCAAGAGGGGAGGAGGGAGGACAATTTCCTTTCTGTAACACACACGCTACAAGATCACACCGGGAAAACGGAGAGAGGAAAGAAAATTATAGGCGAGATAGAGAGGAAGGAAACACCGCAACACCTCCGTCGGTTTGGTTGCTGTTTTTTTGGGGTTGAAATCGTATCTCCTTTTCACGCAGACTTGCAGACTAACATGGGGGGAAGAGAGAGCTCCTGACGCGGATTGACTTTCAGTGAACCTCTGCTCTTTGGTGCAAGTCTGTGGCTAATAGACGGGGAGGAAAAAGGCGACAGCGAAGACATGTTGAGGTTTCTTTCGTCTTGAGGTTGCCGTATGATGTTGATGTTGTGCTCTTAAAAAACAGACGGCTCCTCGTAGAGAAACAAGACGAGGCCAAATGGAAATTGGGCGGTAGGTTATGCTCACGAGCCATTGTTTTAATCCGTGTTTATTTAATTGGCGTGTTATGATCTGAAATAACGTAGGCCTCTTAGGCAGCCCTGCATACACGGTCAGCAAACGGGATACAAAGCTGCTGGTATTTTTAGGGGGACATGTTTGGATTGAGACACTCTGTTTTGCAGTAAGGTAAAAACTGCGTTTACGAGCTTTTAGTTTTTTTTAAACAAACGCGGTGGATAGATTACATTCTTAAACCAGAGAGACAAAACAGTTCAACTCTTCAGGGGGGTACAAAGGCCCAGTAGAGAATACAGTCGAGGCTCATTTGCAGAATTATTGGACAATTTCATCTGCAGTGGAACACCGTCCACAGACTGACTTTAAGCACAAAGGTGCACAGGATTAGGCAGTCTATTTCACCCCCAGTTTAGCAAAAGACAGGGGACAAAAGAAGATTGTTAAATGTTAATGTCTACCGACGTTGCATCCATCATGCTGCCTGTATCCCGGGGTCTCATGGACCGGGATAGAGAGCTGGACCCCATGGCCGGGGTGCACCCTAACGTGGGCGGGCCTGCTGCGGTTGTCCGGGGCATGAAGCGCGGAGACCCGGAGCCCGACGGACTGACAGCGGCTGCTCTGGTGGACTCTACCGGGGCGGAGTCCAAGCGTCCCCGGATCGACGGCTCGGGAGGGATCGGCGAGGTTGGCCAGGTGAGGAGGATACTCTTTTTCCAAATACAGTAAATGCAGCCACGATTGCTAGGGCTAATGACACGCGTGGTGTAATGACCTCTTGGGATATTTTAAAGTGAAGGTCTATTTCGGTTGTAATCTGTTCATGTCGAATTCATATTTGCAGATACAGTTGCAGCAGAAAGGCCACCATTGACAGTCCATTAGCAGCACTACAGGACATACCACCACATTTCACAGCTGTACATGACTACATGCTGATAATTCAATTTTACAAGGGAGTTGCAATAGTAGGCATTTAATCAATGGTGCTCACTGGGCTGTTTAGCTACAAAATAGCATTGTAGCTTATATATTGCAAACCAATTTTAGAAGATTGTACAGTGCCTTTGCACAATTCATATCTTGTAATACACCATGCCAATCTGATTATTGTCTTGGATAGTTTTATATCCAGGCTAATCCAGCACCTCTTTTTAAAAGTTTTTTTTATGTGCGTAGGCTACCTAACTTGTTACCTAATAGCAAGTCCAATAGTCCAATGTGTATCAATGTGTTACATTACATCTAGTTGCTTTAACTCCCCAAAGAGCTGCCTTTCTGTACGAATATAAGTACAGCCCAGGCAGTCTCTGCGGAGGGTGGAGAATGTAAACAAACGTGACCTTTTCATTATGCAAAGAACCCTCTGCCATGTGGCATCATGGTGGGACAACATTTGGTTTAAAATGTAAATTGATGTCAGTGTTTGCTTGTGATCTTTGAGGAAGGGGAGTGGACAGGAGGGGCTACTTGAAGTAGGCCTCCAGTTTTATTAGGGGGCAAACAGCCCAAACCTAATCAACCTAATTACCTTGAATCTCATACCCCTGCTTTTATCAACAACACTGCTGCAGTGTTTTGCCTCTTGGTCTGTGCTTGAATCAGCAAAAGTGACCGACTCTCTTAACCTATTTTCTTGGGGAAATATTTCTTAATAGAGCGCTGCAGGAGGATGTCCTGGACATCATTAAGGTGTATTATGTAGGGTGAGGCACTCTATTGGAAAATGGAAAGCTATTTCTTTGCCATTGAAAGCGCTAGTAATGGAGGTGAAGTGGCCTGTTTGCCTCTGTGTGGAAAACTAAATGGCTTGCATTACATCCTTGTGCTGTTGGTGAGTGCTGATAGACAGGCTTAGGAACGTAATGCACTTAGAAACAGATGTGAGTGGAAGAGAGTGTGTGCTTGTTTGTGTGTGGGCAGAGAGATGTGCAGATCAATAGCTTCAGCCCCTAAAATGTATTGCATGTGAGCTGGCTGGACAGTCCGGAAATGAAAGTGGGAGAGATGCCCCCCTCCCTCCCTTCCTCCCCCTCTTCCTCCCCCTCTCTCAGTTGGTGCAGGAACAGATTTACCCTATCACTGGCAGTAAATAGGCTTTGTTTCCAGCTAATGGGATCACATCTCATACTGGAGGGGGCATTATAACCACACTGATCCTGTGATCCTTATCTAAGGCAAACGGGTTTATACAACACACATGCACAAATGCAAACAAATTGGTATGATCTAGATAAAGATTATTTATGTTTTCTACTTATGAAATTAAACTTAATTTATAAGTGGAAGGACCAAAAATGCGCTGTTTGCAGCTTATCAAATATGACAATATCCTGTTTTTTTTGTTATTATTTAACCATCATTAACATAAATATGTTGGCCTTTCTTCGGACAAAATAAGACATTTTAAGACATCACATTAAACTTAAAGGTTATTGTGATGTGCGTTTTCCCTGAAGTGTTATTGATGATTTATCAAGAAGATGCCACCTCAGGGAAACTGTAATTGACAATGTATAGATTAATTGATTTAATTGATACAATATGATGAATATACGTGTCAGTTGTGACAAATGTTCTGCTTCATCTAAAGACTGATATTCACTTTGTTAGCTCAGCTTAGAGGTTTTTTTAAATATACCAGTTTGTGTATATACAGTTAAACACTTTGATATATTTGTATACCCCATAGAAAAGGCTGACTCCATCGATATTCAAGAAGCGAATTGGGTTGAGTGACGTTACATTTTCCTACTTTTTAAATCGCAGCACTCAGCTTTAAAGAGGCATCTGTAAAAATGCACACTCGCTCTTCTGTAAAGCTAATCTTCAGAGGGGCATAACAAGATGGAAAATGTTACAGCAAACCGTTTCCTGGCACTCATAAAGAACCTTGTCTACTTTCCTCCATCCTTATTCCATTTTAAATGTAATAACAGCATCACGGCACAAGTTGAACTCTGACTTGTGATACAAACCATGTGTACCACTGCTGTCCAATAATGGGATCTTTCCCATTCTGTTGTTGACGCTGCTGTTTTTCTCATTAGGGGCATGATGTCAACACAAAGCGGGGGTGGAAATGCTCTGTCGAGTCAAATCTGCAACGTTTTTGCAGAGCAGCAGTGCATATATAAATCATTGCAGCATGCAGTGGATGACTGAATGCTCAGCTAACACGGACGAATAAATATCACTAAGTGCAGTCAACAGTACGAGTTCAAATGTTCATGGCTGCTCATAGAAATTAGCTGCTGTGCTGACCTCCTGCCATGGACACTGTGCCCGTCCAATAGTATAGGTTTTAAATGAATATTAAGCTATCTACTGCACAGACCACCAGCCACAGTGCTGTCAATAAATAAATAAAAACATTTTCAGGCCGTTATGCATTCCAGTGCTGCACTGGGGAAGTCCTGCTTTACCGGATGGCAGGGGTTTCATAACAACACTCTGCATCTTTATCCCGAGTCGGTTTGGGGAAATGTTGAGCGTAGGTTGTCCGCTTGAATATCCATCTGCTTTATTGCTGAGTGGCTCGTGTTTTGTTGTCACTGCGTAGGAACCGGGGCTCTCTCTAACCTAATAAGGTCTTGCCTGGGGTGACAGCGGCAAGGACAAATGACTTGATACGGACATTAATGTTGGTGGATCACCCTCTGCACTTTCATCTCCGCTACGGCACTGAAATAGCAGGGAAACGTCAGCAAGAAAAATGAACTCTTGCTCTGAGCTGAGAATATTTATTTAGTTTTTCTGGACCCAGTTTTGCTGTGATAAACTGACAGCAGAGGTATATTGAATGGATTATGTTTGAGAGAGAAGCCTTCATGTTTGGTTGCTCCGCTTGGTGACAGATTGGAAGTGCTTTAAGTGTAGCCATCCTCACATGTGAATTGTAGTTAAGTGATTTGTTACCCTACACTACAGTGATGATTATGATGTTGTTTGTATGTTTATAGTTAATCATGTTCTTTAGATCTAATGCTTCATCCATGCTTTATCTCTTATGATCTTTTGTTCGACAACAACAATATATATTTGGCTGATCCATATACTTTACAACTAAATATTTTCTGACAGATTGAAATATCAATATTTAATTGAATAATCATAGATCATAAAAATAATGAGTTAATGAAAATCAGTGAAATCAATCTTCACCCATGTTGCTAATTCACTAGTTGTTTAATTATTATAATTCTTTAAATGACGAATCAACTTTTTCCAGCCCCTTTTTATATAATGTGAAAATGTACTGTTTAACATGACTGGTAAATCAGAAATGTTTTTGATTTGATCTGGAAATTATCTTGTGTTCTTAAATGTTTTGACAATGAACTGGTTAACCAAGAAATACTAAGAATAATTATTAGTAGCAGTACATCATTGATATACAAGTGCTTCAGATTCGGTAGAAATATGTGAATTATTTATTACATAGTTTGACTGCACTTGTAGAGCCCTGTGCTCATCAAATTAGGGATTCACTGATCGGCCATTATATATAATAATACCATTATTAAATTAATTAAAACAAAATGTGTACAGCACTGTGTGCAAGCGACTGGAATAATTATTTTGTAATAAGGAAACAAGTGTGATTTCAACACGGTTTTCCGAAGTTTGTAAAGCAACATGGAACGATAAGGTATAAATGTCTAAATTGTTATTTATAAAAATATTGAAATCCAATACCACATTGCTTATTGTCACAAATACCTCATCCACCTATTTGAGTCAGTGTCAGACTGATATCTGATATCAGTATCTAATTTCAAACGGTAATGTAATAAACACCAGATCAAATATAAAAGTACACAGCAGACATTTTTTTAATGTCATCACCATGGTCCCAAAAAGTCCAGTTTCAGACTCAAATGTTATTGTTATGGAATAATCATGGAGTGTGATCATAATAGGCAATTATGTTGTGCAGTAAATAATTACATGCAAATACTAATCTTCTCCAATCAGGTCTGAAATAAATTGGGCGATAAAAATAGCTTTATCTTAACATGCAGATCAGCGCAGTGAACACCAGCAGATTCCGTTGCATGTGATGCACCAGACGATACTGCTATATGGTGATCATTGTGGCACAACCATCAAGCCTGCCTCCAAAATCCTCTTTGCCTGCAGCCAACACCGTCCTGAAAAAGCATGTGTAGGTTTACTGTGGAAAGTCAGAGGGATGTGAAGTACATTGAAGGGAAATAAACTTCAGATCATCGGCCGACTGTTTGGAGGCTTAGCACATAAGTGCTCTGTGGATGAAATGGATTCACATCCTCCTGAGTGCCCTGCTTTGCAGTTAGGTAGGATGACTCTCAGAGCAGTGAAATGTAGTTCCTCTTCCACTCCTCTTCAAAAGAACAGCAGTCCCAAGGCACGATAGGAATAGATACGAGTCTTGTGACTAAATTAGACCCCACACACATTCGCAAAACAATCGCACATAAACACCTTTCACCACCTGTGGTTTTTGGAGAAGAGTGCAATGGGTTTATGTGTAAAATGAATTACATTACATTGCATTTAGCTGACGCTTTTATCCAAAGCGACTTACAATAAGTGCGTTCGACCAACAAAATACAAACTTGAGGAAAACAGAATCATATAAGTACATCAGGCTTCATAGAGCAAAAACATTTCAAGTGCTACTCAACTGGCTTTAGATAAGCCTGCCCTTTATTAGTATATAAGTGCTTTGTTAATAGTTCTAACGCTCGAAGTGGAGTCGAAAGAGATGAGTTTTCAGTCTGCGCCGGAAGATGTGTAAGCTATCTGCTGTCCTGATGTCAATGGGGAGCTCATTCCACCATCTTGGAGCCAGGATAGCAAACCCACGTGTTTTTGCTGATGGGAACTTGGGTCCCCTTCGCAGCGAGGGTGCAGCGAGCCGTTTGGTTGATGCAGAGCGTAGTGCACACGCTGGGGTGTACGGTTTAACCATGTCCTGGATGTAGGAAGGGCCAGATCCATTCGCAGCATGGTACGCAAGTACCATTGTCTTGAAGTGGATTCTAGCAGTTATCGGAAGCCGGTGAAGGGAGCGGAGGAGCGGCGTGTATTGTAAGATAGTTTGAAGGAGAAAGTTGCTTTTTGTACATCGCTTGTTCTCCGATTTTTATTATCACAGGGTCGGCCCTGTTCCCTCCCCCCCTGAGCTCGCCTTCCCTCCCCCTCCTCGCCATCTGTTGACTTCAAGTCATTTTGTTACTTTCTCCTGATTGCTCACCCGGTCTTCCCCTGCTGTCCATTCTCTTGTTTTAGCCACCCAACCCCCTAAAACACCATCACCACCCTCAGACAAGAATAAGCTGTGCTCCATTCGTCATCATCGACAAAATAAAGCATGATTAACTATCGTACCAAGTCTTCTTGCCTCTCATGTACTGTGATGGTGACTGCGGTGCTGAGAGGGATACACACTCGACTTGAGCAGCCCTCCCTCTCTCATTCCTCCCAGTTCCTTGAGGAAATTAAGCACATGACTCCGCTCATGTATGAGTCATTGTCTTTGCTCCCTCCGTCTCTTTTCCCCCTTTGCTGTCCATTTCCCGTTGTATTTTCATCTCTGGTTCCTCATTCAGCTTCTCGGAGTATGATTTCTAGATGTGTTGCCCCTCTACCTCGGCGTAGCTTACTGCCCCATAAGCCTCTTTTTGTCTCAAATTGTATTGGTTTGGACTCCATCCTCCTCCATACCTCCAGTGAGTTGTGTTTAGAGTTTGGACTCACTGTACAATACTTTATTCATGTTATTCAAGCCTCTAAGAGGTAATACATTATTTAGAGCTTCTGCCTTCCACAGCCAGTTCACTAAGTACATTTTTGGCTCTGAGATAGACTCACACAAACTGCTTTTTTTTCGACCGGGAAGATGCTTCCTTCTCCTCCCCTCCCCGACCAAGCCCGGTACATTTGGAAACATTGTTCTTTGCTTTAACGAAAAGGCCCTATGGGGTTTAAAGTTAGATGGCTACAGTATTAATCAGGCGAACTGAAGCTTTAAAGTGTGCAAAGCAAATGTTCCCCCTGAGGATAGAGCAGATGAGGGGGGGGGGGAGGAGGAGAAAGGAGGGAGGAGCTGAGTTGTTTTCTAATCTAGTGATATGAATCCAGAGACAGGCAAATCTGTTTTCCTCCTTCAAATCGTGCTGTAATTGCTGCGTAAAGCTCCCTTTTTTTAATGGAATATATTAGCATAAAAGCTAGAACACAGTGTTATGAGTACAATAAAAGAGTTACGACTATCTTCCTGTAATAGGGACATGATTTCTGTAAAATGTTTGCTAACAAACAAATTGTTTTTTAGGGTAACGTGCCATGTTAAACTGTAATTACCCCCTAGATGTCGGATGTATCCGTCTTTGCTTTACACAGCCAGAACACTGAGAGGAATGTGGCGGGGATTGCGTCAGTGCTCATGATGCCGTTTCACACCAACGGGCTTCATGCTCGCCGACACTCCTGACCTATTTATGATTTAAGAGCCGTGGTGAAAGCTCTTTCATTCTGCTCGTCTTTCATCTTCTGCTCGCCTGATCTCACTCGCCCCCGTTATCACGTCTTTGCAAGCAGACAAAAGATCCGCTGGGTGGAAAACTCTGGAGGAGATGGCAGGAGTGTGTCACCGGGCGAGTTAATTTGATTAGGAGACAGAGCTGTAAAGTCAAATAGAAATGTGTGAAGGAATAAAGACGTGTGTGTGAGAGAATTAAATGGAATTCCTGAATAATAATAGAAAAAAATTACATCGCATTGTTGTAAAAAATTACATCGGAGGGATTTATTGCTTTGCAAATGACTGACCATGTGTCCAAAAATCTGCTCTCCTGTCTTTCAGAACAACGACCCTTTGACCCTTGGCTACCATGGCTACCCATCTCTTAGTCAGGTAAGGAGGCAGTTCATCTCAAACTTCATGTTTTTCTTAAATTCTTCCATCCAGTTTTCTGATAATTCTTTACCATTCATAAAACATTGTTAAGGTTCAATGAAGATCCCTAAACCAAAAGGTCGGGGGGGGGGGGGGGGGGGGGGGGGGGGGGGGGGGGTGGGTGTAGATTATAATTAATCAGTCATGTAGAAGAAGAAATTCCTCCACACCCTTTACTCCCCTAGTCCTGCACTCCCACAACTTTCCTTTCTACACAAGAAGTACTGATATTAATAATCATTTTTTATCTTTTCAATTTTTGCCATTTAACCAGAGATATTCTAGTTTTTCACTCCGCAAATTAACACCCATATGAAAGCCTATTAAGTATGTGTGCAAGGCAACAATCTGTTTACTAGTGTTTGTATTGGTCTACTGATTGTGTTATTAGACTGTTCAGTTTATGTGGTTAATCCTTAGATCATCCTCTCTTCATCCTCTCATGCTCTGCCCATAATCCCTTCATCCCTCGCTCTCTGTGATACCCAAAAAACCTCTGGCTGCTTATCTGCACTCTATCTGTCTTAAGCCTTTACTTGTACGCTCTTATTTGCTTCAGTTTCAGAGATTGATTTCTTGGCAGTCTGTTGTGCCATTTAGCGGAAGCCTGGAAGCCAATTAGCCAGTTTTCAATTCAATGGAAGATGATACATCTTTGATCCGTTTCCTTGCTAATAATAATGTTCGAAGTAGTGTTGCCTCGTGCGAGCAATCTCACGTTAGGATGTAAAGAGGTCAGTCAGGAGTTGCTTAAGGGACTCGGAAGTATGAACCGTCCTCTAACTAGGGAAAAAAGTCAGAGAGAAAAAAACAATGCGAGCCGTTGGAGGCTCCCACAACGCAGAGGTGCTAAACTGTCAACAGCGGTGTGAGGATGATGTGATCAAAGGTTCCTGAAAGGAAGAGGCCTGGAGAGCAGGCAGCAGCCTGATGTGTGCAGAGAGGGGGCGAAAACACTTTTCAGACATGAGATATAAAACGTATCTAGCTTCTTTTTGTTTTAAGATACAATTATTAAGATGAATAGCATTTCCATCGCACTGACAGAGGTTAACCCTGTTTACCATTGAAAACCGTCGCAAAAGAAAAAATATTGGCAACTATTTTGATAATATCAGTAATTTTTTATGCTGAGTAGTGAAACAATTTCATTATTTGAATCCAGACTCTCAAATAAGAGGATTTCCTAAATGATATAACTTTGTAAACTAATTAGTTTGGGCATTTAGACTTTAAGTTAAACAATGTTTTTTTGTCATCATGTTTGGCCCTGTGATGATGATGATAAACAATTATCGCTTTAATTGAATCAGCAGATATTTCCAAAAATAAAATAACCAGTAATTGTTTCCCTACATCACAATAATTAAGGACATGTGGGTTGACAGTGAATAATCTAATTCCAAAAAGGAGTCATGTTTACTTTCTCTGTATATTTAAATCTTGTATCAAACTCCATTATATCCAACATTTCGTAATAAAATGTAATTATTTACATTATTTAATATGCTCTCGCTGTTATAGTAGTTTTCATTGTTACTCGGTGAGTCTGCCTTTCCCGTGCAAGATTTAAATTGCCTTTCCATGCATAAGGGATACACAGGAAACAATGCGTGCATCTGTTGGATGCCGTGCTTTTTTGTATGAGTAACGTATTACCTTGTTGGAGGACATTGTTGACTGCTTTATTAAAAAGGATGAGACATGATGCATCCTCTCGTCCTACGGTTTGTTTGGCTTTGATACAAGACGTCGTTCTTTTGTTGAATTTATGTTTGGAATAACTGCCCAAGGCATGTTCCCTGTCACAGTGGTTGGTTTAAATATGTCTGAGAAAGATATCTGGCTCTTTAGCTGCTAAATGCATTTAAAGCCACTTCCGCACTATGTTCTCCAGCTAACCTAGTGTATCCGTGGTTTTGCAGGACAGGTAGGGTTCAGGTTTTTTTATGCTTTTTGGCTGAAAACAGATGTTTTGTGCGGCTTGAAACATATTGGTGGAAGTGGTGAGTGTGAAACAAAAGAGTAAAGCTGTCGAACCAGAACTATGAGCTGAAATATGCACCGTTTGAGGAATTGATCCAGCTTTACAGAGCCCTTTGGTAATATGAGAGAGAGAGAGAGAGAGAGGAGCGTAGAGAGAGAGAGAGAGAGAGAGAGAGAGAGAGATA